CGTGAACCCACAAAGCTGGGGTGTTGGATGTGGTGTTTCAACGCAGCCTCTAAATGCCAGGTCTGTGCCACTGCTGAACGTCAGGATGGGGAGCTGGACTGACAAGGGAATTGCAGCAGCACCTTCTAGATGAGGAAAACCAGAAAGAAAAGAGACCTGGGGCAAAGGAAAGATGAGAAGTTATTGCACTTCTGAAAATTTATTGACAATGAGGACACAGAGGCAGTGTGTCAGTTGGCAAAGGAGGTCAGCCAGAGGGATGTTCAGGGAAGTGACATAAAACATGCGAGATGGGCTCTGCAGTGTGGTATGGACATGGAGGACTGCCATCATCTGTCAATCCTGAAGATATCTGTGTGTCTCAAATGAAGATGATTCTCCTCTCAGAAGACTTTTTAATCTAGGGAGAACCTTGAAGTCCATCTCAGAAGAAAATCAGAAACCCAGTTTTGTTTCTAGTGTGCTTCAGTTCACTAAGGAAATGACTAAGGAAAAGAATCCCATGAGGACCATTAGATTTACTGTACAAATCACTTGCTCCAGGTTTGGATTGAGGTTGTCTTAAACTATCCAAAACATGATGCAAATTGTATGTGAAAAGGAGCAAAGAGCACCCTCAAATGCAAATTACTTCAACTATTTTGGTCTGTAGAGCTACTTTAGGTTTTTAGCAGTATAAATCAGAACGCACTCTGTTAGAATCAGAGCCAAATTTCATCTTATTTTTTTCGTTTTACCTTAGGTTACACATGGGAGGAATTATATGCTGAGTTATATCATTACCAACGTAACTGTTCTTACAAAAAATTGTTAAAATTCAGCTCTGAGTCAACAGTATGAAAACTTTTACAACGGCTTTGAAAGCCAAGCAAGCTACAGCAGAAAATAATTCAAAATTACTTCTTAGATTTTTTTTTTGTAATCGTAGCATTTCTTTCCAGGTGACCATTGCCATTGAAAATATTGTCTAGAGAACTGCCACCTCTAATATTGTCCCGTTACAAGACACAGTCTCGTAATTTATAATTAAAAATTCCAAAGCCATGTTATACCCACCCTACTGTATGCTGTTGTGATAAAATTTGCCAGCCTGCTCTATTTAAAAATGTTCTTGGAGGGATTACAGCTTGTTTGGTTGCAAGATAAATATTATTTACAACATTAGACCCTGCAGAACAATAGAAGTAATATTACAGTTCTTACAATTCGAGTCAGAGAGAGTATTAAGAGATTTTTGTTCAAAAAAAAGACAGTCTAGCAAAGATTGAAATAACAACTGCTTCTTCCACAGGTACCACAACTCTGGATCACGGCCAATGACACTGCAGGGATGTTTCATAATGCAGAGAAGATTTTCTCAGTACAGGACATTGCTTCTCTCCGCACCTCATCATTCACGTGCTAAATGAACCTGCCTCGTTCTGCATCTCAGCAAAGATGAAATGGCAGATCAAAAAAGTCAAGGTTCATAAACCAAGACTTTGCGGTTTTCATGTTGCAGCTTTCAGATTATTTACAAATACCTTCTGAAGTATTGACTTCTTAACAATAAAAGCTAAACTTTTTGCCACATAAAGGAACATTTACTGTGATGCACTGTCCATACTTTTAAAATAGTGTTTGGGTGCTTGTTAACTTCTCAGGCAGCCAAAGCCTCAGTCACAGCTTTGCTGCAGCAAAGGTCCCACGTCATCCTTGCTATTAGCTGTGTTGCAAGAAAACTGGCACCCAGAAATGCTGAGGAAGGTCATTGTCCCAAAGCAAGCACCAGGCACAGCACATGGATTAGGACCGGGAGAAACTCGAAGGACCTCTCCATGAAAACTTTAATTTTTCTTTGGAGGGAATGAACTGGAATGGAAAGGCAGGTGGGTGATCTTCACACTGTGGAGATATTCAAAAAACCTTGCTCAAAGAGGTGGACCTTTTCCTCAGATATCTGACCTCCTTCAGATATCTGACCTCCCTCAGAAGATTTCTGAACGTACAAACTGTACAAAATGAAATGGGAGGTCAAAAACACTGGCCAAAGGCTACCCAGCAAGTCAGAGACAGAGATTGTTGCAGCTCAAGCTAGGAGATCCCACATCTCCTGAATTCCATCTCACTGCCCTCCAGGATGATTTCCTGTAGGCCTTCTCAAGGGTGGAAGCCACTAACATTGAAGTTCATTGCACTCTTGTGCTTTCACACTACGGGCACTTTCCCTCACATAAAGCACAACACAGTCTGAAGGAAACAAAACAAAACAAAACAAAACAAAACCCTACCAAAGAACCTCTGAAAATGGTGGTGTCTCCTGGATTTTTGATGGATGCTACCCACTGCAGAAGTCCACAAAAATGAAGGGTGAACTTGAAACTGACTGGAGTATGCAAGGCAGGGATGAGAACATAGAGCAAAAAGTCTACATGATTTATGCCCAGTCATATCAAAATGAAATTAAGCCAGAGCTTGGTATGCTTATTAATTGGTAAAAGCATTTGCAGATGTTTTACAGCTTCGTAAAGACTTTGGAGCCAGTGAGAAAACAACATGGTTTAATTACAACTGCATCACTCACCTGGGGGCCAGGAGGCCCTGCAGGGCAGCATGATTTGGGCAGAGAGGAAGCCTCTATGATCTGGAGCTCCCGACACAGCTCCTTCATATCTGGGGCAGGCAGCTTCTGTGTAACATAAAGCATATGAGTGAGCACGTAGTCAGAGAAATGCATAAAAACCCAGCCAACAAATGCCTCAGCCTCAAGAGAGTCTTGCTCCCTCAGGGAGAAGCCCTGGGTTTGTCACAAAGTTATCTTCATGGATGCCTGAACATCAGTACTGCAGCACAGTGTCCTGCCCCACACTTCCTCCTCCTCCTCCTTCTCTCAGAGGCACGTTGCAGCGGGGCTGCCGCACGCCCCTCCGAGCCAGCGTGGGACCCTGGCCTATTCTTAGACCTGACCCGGCTCCCCCCGTCCCACTTCACAAGTAGCAGCTCCTCTCCAAAAATAGCATCTTTGCTCTAATAATAGAGACTGCGCTCAGCAAGGCTCTAGGCATCGTGAACTTGGCTCCAGAAGATACTAACCCGTAGGCATTCCCTGCAGACCGGAGCCAATACCTTTAATGATCAATGACTGTCTAATGTTTGACATCAAAATTAGGCTTGAGTAAACTGCCTTATTTATGTCCTGTGACAAAAGTGATCTCCCCGGGAAATGCAGATGAATAGCCAGCCAGAAACACTGGGTTACCGTAACTGATCTTCAGCTTCTGAGTGAAAAGCCATTACCCAGAAAAGCTCCAACTAGAGACTCCAAAACACAAACTGCTCATAGTGAATTCACATGGATCCCACCCTCTTAGTAACTACTTAGTTGCATTTTGCAAGTTTTTGGAGGGAGATGGTGGGAAGGGTGATTTTACATTCCGATTACTCTCTGGGCTGCTTGGGGGAATCTCCGGGACCCTGATCCCAAGCTCATGCTCACTAAAGCAGTGCACCACATTCCTAAGGAGATCTTGCCTCTGGGTCTCCTTTCTGTGGAAATTAAGGCACAGGCTGGAGAGGGGATGGGGAAGGGCAAGGCAACTACATTTTGGGCACCCTAAGTTCAATCTTGATTTCTCTGACGACAACAAAGGATTTTACACCGTAGTTTTTCTTGGGTTAGATCTTGACAGAATTCTTACTCATCTTTATTTACATAGCACTAGCAGTGATGGCAGCATTTGTATATGGTAAATGAATAGTAGAAATAAGAAAGAGGAATTACAAAGGAGGAAGAAAAATTCTTAATGTTGGGATGGAAAACACATTGGACTTAACAGACCTTGGCAATACAACTAATTGGGCAAACTGCTATATCATATACCCATTGTATCCTGTATGTTAACATACGTGTATGGACACATAGCATATAAAGCAGTTATGTGCATAGGCAGGTGAGTGAAATCTCCATACCAGCAACTCAAACACACACATTTATCTTTCTGCAAAACGAAATGGTGGGAGTAGAATCCATAGGAGAATTTCGGGATCTTCATTTCACCTACTGGGTAAGGCAAATATGGTGCAAAACAGGATATATACTCTGAAATCATCGTGCAGAGTGGAAAATTGCCTTTTTGTCCTTTCTTGATTGCTGCTTCCTTTAGTTCCAGCTTGCCTTATTCTAGGAAAGTACCCAAAACAGAGTAAGGAGAGTATTTTAATTAATTGAATTAACTGCCTGAACAAACCCAGCCTCATTTCATTCTCTGATCTATTTGAGATTTACCTCAAGCCCCAGTCTGAGATGTGGAATGACTGCCCTAACAGAGCCATCTCAACACGGCCAGACGGGTTTGCTGAGCAATGCTATGATGCAGTGCCTGAGAGGCTGCTTCAGTCTGTTTCATACATAAAAAGTCATGTAAAAAGAAGAGAAAGGCTCCTGGGCCACACTTACAGTGCTCCAGCCATGCCTGAAGTGCGGCGGTGGGAACGGGGGCGGTGGAGGAGGGCCGAGCAGGCAGCACGCTCTGTGGTTGAGCTGGTTCTTCTGTTCCAAACAAGGGAGATCTGTTCAATACAAACACTTGTCTGTTGTCTTGAGCACCACCAACATTTCTAACAGAATAAGAGAACTTTCCGTTCCACAGGATTTTCCTACATCCTGTTTGCATTGGTAGTAACACTCCAAGCAGGGCTTTATGAAGCCGGGTGGTCCCTTAAGTCTAGATGTTCCTTCATGTGCTGAAGGCTACACAAAGTTTTAAGCTCTTAGTGTATCTATGACACAGGCAGATTTTGAAAAATTTCAAATAGGCAACATTAGAAAATAGAAATATTTCCTGTTTTCTCTCCCTCCTGTTCCAAAAGTGTACTAGAAATAACATCTTCTGGTTCCTGTTACAGCCCATGTGCCACCAGCAGGCACTTCCTGCTGCTGCCACCAACCTTCCTCCTGCACCCAGTCTGTGCCAACTAAGCGGGAAGCTATTCCACAGCACATTTGATTTTATTTCCCCTGGGTCTGAAACTAGGCTGCCTTATTTCTGATTTGTTCATCATCCTTGAGAACAAATACTCTGCACCCCTGATTTAGCTGACTGACTGATAAGGCAGGATCTCAGTTGTGTTCGGCAATGTATTTAACCTTTTCTAAGAGGTAAACATCCAGCAACAATATAAAAAGCCGTGACTAAAGATTCACAAAGAAAGGATCTGAAGATGATGCATTTATACTGTGGGTTTGGTTTTGGTTGGCTTTTTTTCCCCAAAAAATTTCCCTGGGAAATACATCTCTAGGCAGGGTGAGGCCCTTCTGCAAAGATTTTGCCAAGGACAGCAAACATTTATCTACATCTGCTGGTTTCTTCCTCTGGCTGGTGGCAGCTGGAACGGTTGTCTGTGAACTGAAGGATGGCAAGGAGCCAGATTTGGTAGGAAGAAAAGCCCAGGGTGAAGTATCTGGTATTAATAGAAAACCTCTAAATTAAGTTTGCAGGAAGTCAAACCTGACAAAATTCCTAGATTTGTGTGCAAATCAATCGCAGGCTCGATATTAGTCACATCTTAAGGTAAGGCAAATTTTCTAAGGTACAGAGATACTTCCAGTTTTTCAAATGTCTCAGAAAATACATTATATTGGCTCCATCATCCCATGTTAATGGGGATGGCATTTTCTCAGTCCCGATGAACAGAAAGCAGCTGCCCAGAGGAGTCTGATTCAGCAGAATTCAGGGTAGTTTATATTATCCAGATTTTTTTTTCTCCATCAAAACACTATTTTTGATCATACTTGTAAGAGATGCGTCAATTAAAATCTGAAAAGGTCACATTTACACAGCTGTAATTAAAGTGTTCAGTTTTTATGACACATACTTCTGTGGTTGTTTTAATTTCAAGATTGTATTTGAACACATTACATCATGACTAAATTGCATTATTACTAAAGCAATAGACAGTAATTTAACAGGGTATAAAACGTGATTAATATTTCATTTTAGACCACATTCCAACAACATCACTCTGCCTTAGTTTTACTTTATTCTATGATCTAGCTAAATTTTAATTAGGAAATTTCAATAGGATTATTATAATTCAACAAGAATAAGTATATCAAAGCTGGCCTGATGTAGCTTAGCTGCTAAGAGATCACTAAAGTAGGCACCATAGAAAAAGATTTGTACTACTGCAGTTGTATTGCTACTTAAAAAAAAAAAAAGCCTTGTTCTTTAAATATTTTGCAAAGACAAAATAAACTATAGATGCACATCTGTAGCTTAAATATGTCCTCATGATTAAAGTAAGTCATGGGTTATAAAATATTTGAATTCTCTTTTTTTAGCAACAAAGCCTGAAATTCTGTGGGACAGGTTTTATTGTGAAAAAATACCATACCAAGGCACTGCTTTCAGTCCTTGTAGTCTTATTCTAACACTACCCTACCACAGGTTAAGCTGAAACCCAATTTAGGTTTGTTGATATAGACTGCGATTGCATGTACTCAGTGCGGAAACAAGAAAAAGAGGCAACTAATTGCTGTTACAGTTATATAGGGTATATCAATGACATAATGATGTGGGCAGTTAGTATTTCAGGGAGGCCATCAATACCCATGACTATGTTCTAAAAAGTGTATTTGTAAAGCAAATATTTAAGAAAAAGCTGGTCCTGGACCCAAGAACGTCCCACACTCAGGTATGACAGGTGATACGACAGCAGAGGGAGCAAAAAAAAATGGAGTGAGTCACAGAGTGGCTACAGGTATGACAGCTATAATCTGATCTTCCAATAAGCACCGCATGTCATTGGTATGGATTTTGTTACTGCGATACGTCTGAGATGTACAACCATTAGAGTATCAGCTCGTTTTATACCATAAAAGGGTTACTGGGACAGGCTTACAGGCTCTCCACAACTGCAATGTATATTTTTAGGTTCCAGGTTAGCTTTGTTTGCTAAACACAGCTTCAGGATACTCCAGTCCCCACCAGTGGAAAAAATCTCAGCCCAAGAATAGGACTGTCATCATTTTCTGTGAAATATTAAGACCCTGCCTACACAGAGCCTGCATTTACACATCTTGTGTGGAGACTGCTCTTTCAACGGCTTCCATACCGAGGAATTTATTCAATAAGAGAAGAATGACAAAATGAACAACTCCTTCTAGGACTTGCCTAAGTGGCAGTTGTTTTCAGAGAACATAAAAAATATAATAGTTTAAAAATAGAAAGTCTTCACCATCTTCAAACCCAAATTATTTTTATGGCCCAGGCTGTACGTTAATCTAGTGCAAGGAAGTGACTGTATAAATCTGTGCATATACCGGAATTGATTGCTTTGGAAAATAACATATTTTAGATAAGCTGTTGCAAAGTTTTGGTTTGTTCCTGCAGACAGCTTGGTTCCAGCTGTAGCTAGAATCTGGGGACTCTTATCCAACACAGTCCAACACAGAGTCAGAGACAGGCCTTCACCCAGGCTGAGTGCCCTGGAGCAGAGCTCACGTGAGGGCTCCGAGCCTTCCTAGTGCCAACCTTCAATCCTGTGAATGCCCTCAGCTGCAACTGAAGTACCAGAGAAGTGCTGTTCTGGGTTCAAGTTAGAATTACGGGGTTTCATTGAAAAAAAATCACAGGTAAACCATGAAAATAACTTTTAGCCTAAAATCACAAAGCTGTAGGCCAATTGTCAGAAGGAAAGGTCAAGAAAGGAAAGATCTTAACATGTGTTTCCCTTCCTATTTGTGACCACGTTCACCCAGCAAGCCCTGAGGAGAAGGCGAGCTGCTCTCCAAAGGCTTGTCACCCCGAGAGGAGGGCTGGTGGCCTGCCCAGCTTCTGACGGGCAGGACTCTGCCAGATAGAGATCTCTCATGGCTGACCCCCCATCACAGGTGCTTCTCCCACTTGGACGGTGCTCGGAATTAATAAGCGAGCTGAGCAGGCTACTCAGTTGATGAATGTGGGCTTCTCCAGCTGAAACTGAGACTTTCATCTGCTTTGTTGCCATTCATTCAGGGTCCTCTTACCCTTCTTGCAAGGAGAGCAGCACATCAGGGCCCGCAGCCACCCAGTACTGTGCTGTACACCTCTTGCAATGTGACTAAGGCACTTCTTCCCTATAGGTTAGGAAAGTTTAGGAACTCATCAAAGGTGCCTTTTGAGACCCATACAGGCCAAAATCTTTTATTTTCAGAGCAGATGCAGATATTAAGCTCTCCTTTAAAACCCCAAATGTGTCACCATTAACAGTGTATACTTCCTTAAATTGTATTTTATGAAGTTTTATGACCCCAAAATGTTTCTTAAGAATATATAAGCAGAGCTGGAATACAGCTCGTGGCTGGAGGTGGATAGGACAGTCTAACTGGCAGAGTGAGTTGGGGTTGTTCAGCCTAGAGAAGAGAAATCTCGGGGGAGACCTTCTAGTGGCCTTCCAGTACCTGAAGGGGGCCACAGGAAAGCTGAAGAGGGACTGTTTACAAGGGACCGTATTGATAGGACAAGGGGCAATGGTTTAAAAATGGAGCAGGGCAGATTTAGATTAGATATTAGGAAGAAGTTCTTTACAATGAGGGTGGTGAAACACTGGCACAGGTTGCCCAGAGAGGTGGTGGAAGCTCCATCCCTGGAGATGTTCAAGGTCAGGCTTGATGTGGCTCTGTGCAAACCAACCTGATCTAGTTGAAGATGTCCCTGCTCACTGCAGGGGGCTGGAATAGATGACCTTTGGAGGTCCCTTCCAACCCAACACATTCTATGATTCTGTTCTATGATCTCTCGGTATTCTTTTGAAATTAGATATATAGTTGATGGCCTAAATACACATTTTCCTTTAAATCAAAGAAATATATCCAGCCCTATAGCTTAGATAATGGTGTCTGTGTGAAGGAGGTGGTGACCCACGCAACTCCTGTGGAAGTTACAGGATGAGATGAGGGGCTGCAGCCCTCCCCTGCTTCTGGTTTTCTCTTGCTTGAAATGGGGCTTCAGAGTCTTTAAGGAACAGAACAAAGCCTGATCAGAAATTAATTCCCCATCCTTCTGACAGAAAATGAAAAAAATCCAGCTGAAACCCTGGACATTTCCTTTCAGCCAAGAAAAACTCATAAAAATTTGGAAATGCTCTGGTTTTAATCCCCAAAGTGGCTAAGGGCTGTTACAGCAGTAACGCGTACTTTATCAGCTGGCACACACTCAGATGCAGTCAGCATAAATGAATGACTAAATAAATAAATAAACAAAAGTATTTAAAATCAGTCAACATTCAAGAAGCTTGACAATAGCATGAACACTGGCACGATGCATAGCCGGCGGATCTCAGTGTTCAGCCGGCCGGCAGAGCAAGGACGCTCTGTCCTCCGTGCCCACCTAATATTCAGCCCACGTCCTCCAGCATTTCCCTGCACCGGGGCCCCAGGTGAGTCCCTGGCAGCCCGGCTGGTGAGCAATAGGCAGCTACGTTTTTGCAGGTCAGCATTAGAAAACACCGCAAAAATGTCAAGATGCAGAAAAGCAAAGGAGCCTCTGAGGTTTCTAAGCAAGCGAAAGGCCTTTCAGTCCCTAATTACG